AAGTAAACTTTTTGAAAAAGTATTATACGAACAACTCCATGAGTATCTTGTTACACAGGAGTTGTTGTCCCCTCGTCAATTTGGTTTCAGGAAGTTTCATTCTACAGCCTCTGCTCTTTTAGATAGTACAAATGAATGGTTTATTAATATGGACCGTGGTTTGTTTAATATAGCTGTTTTTCTGGACTTACGAAAGGCGTTCGACACCATAAATCATGACATCCTCTTAACGAAACTTGATCTTTATGGCCTACAGAAGCCATCATTAAACCTTTTAGGATCCTATTTAGCGAATAGAACCCAAATGTGCTCCGTTAATGGCGCTCTGTCGGGCACGAAGTTGGTTACATGTGGAATCCCTCAAGGTTCAATTCTTGGCCCACTCTTATTCTTGATCTACATTAATGACCTGCCTAACAGTTTGGAGTACTCGTCGACAAGAATGTTTGCCGACGATACGACTCTAACTGTATCTGGCAAGTCAATCCAAGATGTAGAGGTGGCCATAAATCATGACCTTACCAACGTTAAACAATGGCTTTCTGCAAATATTTATCTCTTAATCTAGTCAAAACTGAGTATCTACTAATAGGATCTCGGTACAACATAAATAATTTACTTGCTGCTCCAAATGTATTTGTTGGTGATACACCAATTAAAAAGGTCAAAGAAATAAAAGCGCTTGGAGTTCATATTGACGAATTTCTATTGTGGGATAAGCATATTGATAAAATTGCTAAGAAGATTTCATCCAGAATTGGGACGATCAGAAAGCTAAAATCTGTGTGGACCATAATACATTAATTTGTGCTTATAATGCACTTATACTTCCACACCTAGATTATTGCTGCGAAGTTTGGGACACCATTGGTGCCACACTTTCTGATCGACTCGAGAAACTACAAAATAGGGCAGCTAGAGTTATTACTGGCCGTAAAAACGAACATGGTCAATCTGAACTTGCTCTAGACGAACTGAAATGGAAACCTTTAAGTGAACGCAGAACACATTTCGTAGCAAGTCTTATGTATAAAATAACTCGTGAACTGGCGCCAAAACGACTAACCAATATTTTTCAAAGGACGTCTTCCTTTTATTACTATAATATGCGAGGCTCTTCCACCAAACTCTTTTTGCCCAAACCTAAGACTGAATATCTTAAAAAAGTCTTAGTTATAGAGGAGCGAAATTGTGGAACAGCCTTTCTGATGAAGCAAGAAACAAACATAGTCTTGCTTCGTTTAATTCATGTATACGACACCTGGCCAATTAATTAATTAATTAATAAAATAATTACGTTAATCTAAAATATTGAACAGTACTAACATTAATTTAATTTGTAAATAATTATATACTAGTTGTATTTGTAAATGTATTGTAATTGTTGTTAACTGTAATGTAATGTAATGTATGACCATAATTTGTATCAATTGTATAATTTTTTAACTATTTAAATCTACGCCCCCCTTGGAAATCAGCCTTCGCTGTAGGGGTTAGCGTAGTTAAATAAAGTTTTACCTACCTACCTACCTACCTAGAAACTTATAAACGTTTTTCTGTAGCTCCTTATTTCCCTAAAATTTCGTACTTTAAGTCTTTTTGTGTCGAGTTATCTGAAAATCACATCAGAATAGTCATATCGCAACAGAGTACCCATTATTGTAAGCAATAAACTAATGTTGTGATTTCTGAGAATTTTACAACCTTTGTCTTTCAAGCAAAAAAATGTGGAATGTATCCGACCACGTAAACAGTACTAGTAAACAGTTAGACTGTATGCCATCTGAAAGAGCACACTTTAAACTACCAAAACCCGCTAAATTCATGTTTGCCTCTTAAGGAGGCGAGTTTTAGCTTAGGTTGAAAAAGTATTTTAGCAGACAATTTTTCCATTACTGTAAAATATTATTTGGTAAAAATTATTGTATTTTCTTCTTTAGATTGGTCTTAAAACTGTACTTAAACCTTGGTTTTTATGGGTTTTTTCCAAGCCCAAGGAAGTATGATTTGGGTATACAGTAAATTCAAATTGTATTTACATGTAGTTTAAAAGATGTACCGGGGTACGCTGTCTGCGCATGTGCACACCAATCGATTGAGTTACCAGAATCTTAAAATCCATGGGTGCGGCATTAAAACAATATTTTGAACTGAGCAAAGCAAATAACCTGAATGTTAGTATTGTTAACCCTTTGATTAGATGGACTCTGCTTAGTTTTTGAAACTTTATCAAAACCGAGAAATGGCTTAACGAATGCAATACTTGACATAATGAAGCAGTTTCTTGTTGGCCTTGCATGATGATGCCTCAACACAGGAGAGGTGATTTTGTTGGTTGAATTCCTGGTGTTGATGGTCCTTCCAGACTGATGATCAATTGTAGTAAGCTTTTCTCTTTCAAGAAATTTATGATTATCAACATTCATACTTGGTTACACCATTTCTTCCACCAGTAAATGTTTTAAGTTAAAACCAACATTTTTGCTTTAGGTTTTATTAGCAAAGCCTTTGATGTCAGGGGCGTAGGAACCGGGCGCACCCCCCCATTTTTTTTGAAAGGACCATAAGCGCCCTTTTTTGTGAGGAAAAGTGCCCTTTTTGTACAAGCTAATGTCGCTGTAAATACTAAATTAACATCAAAGGTGCCCTTTTTGTTTGGACATATCAATGTTTTTGAAAATTACAATTTTGTCAAAAATGTGCAATTTCAGTATGGTATGCCACCAAAATTTCTGGGAAAAATTTTTTAGGTGCCTTTTTCAATATCCAAAAGTGCCCCTGGAAGCTGGTGCCCCCAATTGTGATGCTTCCTACGCCCCTGTTTGATGTTGACGGCAAATAAAATTTACATAAGATTAGAAACCTATCAGACTCAAGTGAACATTGTACACCCCAGAAAATGTAATTGCTTTCAATGAATTAAGTGTGGGAAGTTTAAATTTATATATCCATTTGGACCTTGACTAACAGCCATGTACTTGTTCCAAATATAAGCAATGCTTCCTTTCAAAAGTTTAATTAATACAGTAGTTTGTATACCCCCAAACATCCCTAGGGTCATCTCAAATTTTCAAAAAATCAACACAGAAATTCGTATTTCAGGGGAAAGGAGCAGGGGTAACAATTTTTAGTTGGTTACTCAAATGCCAAAGTAACAAAATATTGAGATGGCTCCCTACATTGTGCCATCAGGATATGTTTGCACCCCAACTGATAGATACAGCTTGATATTTTTGCAGGATATTATTTATTCAGGATATTTTTGCACCCCAACTGATAGATACATTGTGCCATCAGGATATTTTTGCACCCCAACTGATAGATACAGCTATTTTGGTGGAGTCCCCTCCCCAATTTTAAGGTGCTTCCAGTCTGCTATGTGTAGATGGTATAGTGTCGGTACACCACACTACAATTATACTGTGTCTGGTTCAGAAACTTTTTTAATTCCCATATTTCTTTCTTTTCCCTGAGCCAATGGCATGTCAGCACCAGTCCGGACAATATCCAAGGGGGAGGGTACTAATTCTGCTCAGATATTTTAATTCACCCAGAAAGTGAATTCAGTGCACCATGGGTGCCATCCAGGAGCTAGTATGTACAACAGTAAGTGGATGGTCATTTCACTGATTGCAAAATTAGGGTGAACTACCAGGAATCGAAAAGGAAAAATAAAAAAAAACCATAAATGAAAACCATTTCATACAATATGGTTTGAAGCATGTTTTCAATTTTGCTGTGAGGAAATGATAAGAAAATCTTTTTATGGGAAATTGTGAAATAAAAAGTGAGTTTGTTTTGATTGTTTACTTTATGTATGTTGTTGCACACTGTTTTCCAGATAGTTTAAAGTTTATTTGGTGTAAATTTCTTAATTAATTACGGTTTTTTAATCAAAGTTTCTTTGTACCATACCTTTCTAGTATAGATTTCACAATAGCGTGCCAGGCATGTGGGACACATACTGCTTATATACTGTAGAATTTAATACTGTCGAGAATATCAATATGGAACCTGAACTATTAAATACCAGAATAATTCCAGTATACCATTAAGCTACAATAACATATTAAGACAACGTTTTATAACAGCTTATAAGCACTTTATACATAATTTTGTGAAAAAAACATTTTCTTCAGTTGAAAGACATGCTCAGTAAAGTCTGCATAAATTCAGCGCAAGCATATTTTATTAAACTGTCCGGAGACCAGAATGTGCGGCACATTTTACAACCTTAATCATTACTTGAATAGAAACATGTTCACAAGTACAACAAATTTACTTATACCTAGTTCATCTTCGGAATCGTCAGAACCTTTTTCAGAGCCTCGATCATCAAAGCTGACAAAACCACCATCTGAGTGTGCTCGAGTCGATGCACCGCCAAGTGTTCGGCGAATTAACTCTATTTCTTTAACTAAACTCTCTCTGTCTACATCATCCACATCTGAATCTTGTTTGTCCTCCATGGCAATAAATAACACCAATAAAAATGGAAATATTGCGCTGAAATAAAGCACTTTATTCAGTTTATATACAAACGTTCAACTTCAAATCTCCCACATGCAACAAGAGCTGACGATCGTCGTTGATCGAACGTATAGAAAGATATTAGATTTTAGGATTATACCAGTACTTTTTGTCGGAGCAAAATTTAGCCAAAATCTAAAATCGGGGGCGGGCGGGGGGGGGGGATTTACGAGCAGAAATACTTGATCCCAAACGTTGCCGGTTGGGCTATATAATATCAAACTGTAAGACTTCAGCGAAAAGAAAAATATTTTAAAAATACAAAAACAACTGTCATTCGGCCAAAAAATGGCAAATTATCGGCAAATATTTTTTATATATTTCCCTTTTAGCTAAAGTCTTGAAATTTCGACACCAAATAGCGTTTTTCAGTTTCATATACAACGCAACGTTCAGTGTTGATTATTTCTCCTCATAAGTCATAACTCAGAAAAACTAAAATGCACTGGCTTCGACCCCCAGTTACCTTCCAGTTTACTTATAATTCAATCGGCTGGTTAATTTTGCAGGTTGCAGGTTCGCAATTCCCTACATCCAGACGATGAATAAGATCAGTGACTGATCTCCACTTCCGGCACAGAATAGCAAATCCTGATAAAAACTTCCGGTTGTACTAGCCAGGATGACGTGGATTGGCGTGAGCGAGTTAAAATTTTCGTGGACGTCAAACAATAAGGGAAACGACTAGAGTTACGCTTCTGCTATAACTTCCTATTCTGTATATACTGTATAGAATAGAGCAAATGTCTATTATAAGCTATACTAGAAAATACATGCATGCAGAAAACCTCGCCTTGCTGACAAAACTATTATGTTTTCCAAACATGAAGTATTGTCATGGTAACACGATAATTTTAAGAATAGTTTTAAACAGTGGCGGCGCCAGGGGGGGCAAGGGGGGGGGCAAATGCCCCCCCCCAATTATTTTTTGCCCCCCCCCACAAAAAAATATTAGTCACTAAGAGCGACTAAAGGCTACACAAGCGTTCTGTCGTTATCGGAAAATGTATGGCTTATAAGTTTTCATTACTCATTAGTGAATGCGCGTATACATGAAACTGTTTTTTACAGTTTCAGTATTAGTTTGTAAATCTCTGAATGGTAAAACTTGCCAATACTCCAATAATACGTTTCAAAAAAAGACAAAAAGCTTTAGTTTTGCAGAGTTAAATTCTCAAACGTGTAAGGCAATAATAAGATGAAAGTATCACGAAATTATTTGAATAAACCACATCGCATATATGGGGGGCGAATGTCCTAAAGAGGGGCGATATTCCTAGGGTATTCGCCCCACCCCCTGGGAGGCAATATTCCTAGGAATATCGCCACGTTTTGAGGGGGGGGGCAATTTCCTGGGGGGCGACCTTTTTAAAAATTCTATCTTGCCCCCCCAAAATTTGAGTTTGCCCCTCAAATGCCCCCCCCCCAAATTTGGAAGCCTGGCGCCGCCACTGGTTTTAAAATTGAAAAATCCCCCCAAATGATCAATTTCCCAAACATATATATGCTAGGTAAGTTATTATACGTAATACAAGCTTCAATTTAATGTAAAAATCAACCACAAGTGCTTCGCAAAACGTTTCAAAATGTTCTTACAGCAAAACTAAACGGCCTTTTATCGGTAAACATTGAGTTTCAAAATCGAAATAAATTTGATTTCAAATTCTTGCATGGAAATAACTCGCCATCATGCCACAGACACAGAATAGGAAGTTATACCAGAAGCGTAACTCCAGCAAATATTTGTCCGCGTTTTTACAAGCGATTCGTCATCAATCACGCCATCCTGGCTAGTACAACCGGCACTTTGTACCTACCAAATCCTGATAAAAACTTCCGGCTGTACTAGCCAGGATGGCGTGGCCTGACGTGAGCGAGTTAAAATTTTCGTGGACGTCAAACAATAAGGGAAACGACTAGAGTTACGCCTCTGGTATAACTTCCTATTCTGTGCCACAGAGATCATGCTGAAAACCGGAAGTGGAGAAAAGTCACTGATCTCATTTATCGTCTGGATGTTGGGAATTGCGAACCTGCAACCTGCAAAATTAACCGTAATTCAATGGGGTGCTACGGTTAATAGAATTAAGGAGACCGTGATTGTACTCAGTCACTGTACTGCCGCCTAACAAACAAGATATAATAATAATTCTGTGGGGTGTGACACCCCCTTGAAAACGTCTTTTCGGCAGAATAACGGATTAACGGTTTTATCGGCAAATCATTTTCGTAATCAGCGAACATATTTGAGTAGCTCGGATTAAAAAGCAATAGTTACAGCAAAAATTTTAATAAATTCCAGGCGAAAATATTACCGAAAAATTTAAGAAATTACGGTACATGAATTGGTAAGCCTGGTAAGTTAGTGAACAACTGGTATGTCCAGAAAATATTTTTACCTCTCCCCCCGCTCGCCAACAATTTTGGGGGGAAAATTAATTAGGGGCTGAAATGTTGTCAGCAAAAGTGATACAACACCCCCCTGCTTTATCCTCCTCGCTACGGCCCTTGCACAATTGACTTGGCTTAATACAAGTGCAGTTAGGGGGGGGGGGGGATCAGTTAGATATAATATGATATTTTCTGTGTTGGTGTAATGTACTCAGGTGAATAAGATGCTTGTGTTGTTACTCTGAGTGTATATCCACACCGGGCAGGCTTGAAAAATATGCCCGGCCACGGTGGGAATCGAACCTACGACCTTTGGAATACTAGCGCCCAATACTCTGCCAACTGAGCTACGCGGTCTGGTCGGTTCGAGTATGTGATATTTCGGAACTGAGTCTAGTTCCTTCGATATCAATGTAATTAATCTAGTAATCATGATATTTTCTGTGTTGGTGTAATGTACTCAGGTGAATAAGATGCTTGTGATGTTACTCTGAGTGTTGTGGATATACACTCGTTGAATTTCTATTCTTTCACTCCATTGTAATCCATCATTATTGAGTCCTTTACTTCTGCCGGATAGTTAAATACTTACAGAGACAACCAACCTGCCCATGCCCATCCTCGTCCCCACGGCCACGCTGAAATGTTTTTCAGTAAAAGCACTCGGTGACGAAATAGATCTGAGAGAGGAATACCAAAGAAAGCCACAACGTCAAGGGGAAAGAACGAAAGAACGATCGACGACAATGGAGTACAATATTCGTAGGGAAGGAATCGAACTGTGTCTAGATCCCATTTGTCCTGACCCAATTTTTCTCTAAATCCAATTTTCCAGCCCTTTGTTTAGATCAAATCCCACGATGACTTTGAATACAACTCTGCGTTCAATTGCCCTCTTTAGACTAGTTTGGCCGAGAGAAAGGTATGTGACTAACTTACAATAGCGGGCAAATGACCTCATTGAGTCATAAGTCAGTTAAATTCATTTGTCTAATCTTTACCTTTTTTAGACAAATTCTCTATCAAGAAATTGCCCTGTGGCTGCAGTGAAAGTTATTTCACTCTGAAATGTCCAACTACAACTGCCGTTATAATGGTATTTGGGTTTTCCCATTCCAATTTTTGTGTCTTTCATTCCCAGTAACCCAAATCCAATTTCCCCAGTCCAAAAATACGCAAATCCCAGTTCCCAAGCGTTAAACACCTTTGGCCAAAAGGCTAGTGTAGGTTCTAGCTAACCTTTGTAGCTCCTGTAGAGGGAGGTAAAATTTCAAGCTTGGAGGCTATTGTCATACCTGAAATTTCACAGGTCCAAAATGAGCATTTGGAAATTGCCCGAAATGATTACCGCTGACGCTGTTTAATGTTCCATAAAGAAGTATTGAAACAATATGATTTCATGAATTTATCAACAGTTTTATAGCCCACTGGTCGTCTTGTTTATATAAGGAGTCAAAATGTACTTTTAGTTTATTTGTTTGTGTGGCGATGTGCCAAGCCAGCCAAGGCAATATCATCAAGAAGATTATTATTGCTGTTTGAACAACCATTCGTTTATAGTTAACTGCATGTAATCTATCTTTAGAAAATAATGTAGTTTTTTGCTGAATCGTGCACCGTGAGTTATTTGAATACATCAAAATAATCCTGCCTCCCATATCGTCCTGGGCCTCCTGGCAAATCTGGATTATATATAAACAGCCCTTATTCAGCAAATTGCGCATGCTGCCTTTAATCCCTTGGGGGTAAAGGCCCACATAGACCGGACGCAATTCGGCAACGCGACGCGAATTTTCAGTTTTCAAAAACAAATAAAACCGTCAACGGATAAAAATTTTACAAGATATGCAGACCAAATGGCTAAAATTGCAAAGTGGTCCCGAATATTTGAAAAACACTGAAAAATATTAAAGTTACTTGTCATTGAAAACTGAAAATTCGCGTTGCGTTGCCAAATCGCGTCCGGTCTGTATGGGCCTTAAGGCAGCACTTTCCTTGCGATAGTAACTTCTTTTAAGTAAAAGTATGTAGATAGTTAACGTTGCGTGCACAATTTACTTGTTTGTGCCATCAAACTACACACGCAAAAGTCTCGCATCTTGTAGCAAGTCTACCAACAAGTTGTCTGATCTTCGCACTGCTTGTCCCACGTTGTCAACAAGTTTGGAACAAAACTATTAACAACTTCTAACAACCTTGTTGATATTATCAGACTTGTTGCAAGGTTGTTCCAACAAGCCCGATACAGTCATGATATAACAATATTGTTACAACATTGTGTCCTGAACCTAGCTTGTAACATTCTTGTTATATCACGACTGTATCAGATTTGTTAGAACAACTTTGCTACAAGTCTGATAATGCTATCAAGCATGTTACAAGTTGTTAAAAGCTTGTTCCAAACTTAGCAATAACATGAGTTAGCATAACATGATATATAGATAAATATAGCAATAACATGAGTTAGCATAATTACGTAATGTCTTAAATTAAGAATGTTCAAGATGTGACTGGCTTCACGTCACAGTAACAAGAACTGTTGTAGATTGCTAAAGATCAAAAGAATTCTTATAGATTGTTTATGTATTTTGTAATGCAGATAAAAAGATATAGTCCCTTGACTGTAGAACCAGCGTGCGCGAACTTTCCCTGATCGCGCCTGTGGGTAAATTAAAGTTTGCCAAACTATATTGAAGCAGGAA